GGTAAAGAACGCAATAGATGGTAGTGATGAGGGCACACGGAGAAGACATTTAGATTTTAATAGTCTTCCTCATATTCCGATCACAAAGGTATCTCTCACAGATTCCATTTGCTCTTTGTCTTTTAGTAATTCTCCAAAGGCACCAGCAGGTTATCCACACTGGTGGTTTATGTCACAGGAAATGTTGTCCTTGTGGCCACCTCTTGGTTTGAAGGACTTCCTAAATCACTGCTGGGACTTGACTGAACATTCTACTCAGGTCTATTCAGTGGCTGTGGCCATCAAGGGGTCAGAGACAACCACCGTGAACTGCTCCCTGCTGAGGCAGTGAGTGGTCCAGACTGCTGGGATGCCATACTCCCATGGTTTCTCTGAATTCGCCAAACCCTCCTTTCCCCCATCACACTCGTTCTCAGTCACTGAGATGCTGTATATGTATGCCTATTCTTGATCTTTCTAGAGCCTCCTCTTCACAATTGTTGTTGATTGCCTTCGAGTTGAGTATGATTTATTGTGACCCTATGAACAAAAGGCCTGCAGACCCTCTACTACTGTAGACATTTATCAAAGTTCAGCTCCCATAATTCAGATCTATTTGGTCCCTAGGGATAGAACTCATTCTGAGATGTCACAGCCTTCAAGAGACTGTCTCAAGAAATGAACTAACAGGGCAGCCTCCTCCTTCACCTCACACTACTGAAGAATAATATTTTCAGAATACAGATGTTACTAGGAAAGAAACAACAAGGTTCCATGATCAAATAAGTCTGGGAAATACAAGATTAAATAAAGTCAGTTTCTTCCTTACATGCCTTTTTGGAATCTCTGGCCTTCTAATTGCACTGGGACTCTCCAAGATCAAGTTCTAATATGCAGCACTTCCCCCATCAAATCTTTCTTTCCCCACTTTTACCCACCAAATTTTTGTTTCTAGACTTCCTCATGGGACCAATGTTCCCTTTGATTACTTTAGGAAACACTAGTCCAGATTTATAATCCCTGGATTCAATTTCTCTCAATTAGGAACCAAAAGCATCCTGAAGGAGGGACAGACAGGGAGGAAATGGAAAAAGAATCCAATTCTGCAAGTACCTGGCAATGCTTCCATTGATTTTCCCAAGGATAAACAAGTTTCTCTGGAAAAGTAGCAAAGTGATAGAGATTTTACATTTCTTGGAGTGTTCTGATCTCTCCTTAAAACCCAAGTGGCAGAGCCAATATTTTGAGACCCCTCCTTCAAGACTGGGTTTGCTGTGATGCTGAATCTTGTGCCATTGGGGTATCAAATACCAGAATGGTTTCCTAATGTGGAAAGTGTTTGGTGGAGATCCCAGCTATAAAACAGGTTTGGAAGCAGGAGTGGCATCCACTTGCTAAACCACATGCTTCTGGAAACTCTATGAACTTGGAGAAATAATGACAATAGTTATGGAAAGGCATTAGGTCTTTTGTTCATAGGGTCGCTATGAGTCATGCTCTACTCGATGGCAAACAATAACAACAACAGCAACTCCTTTAGGAAGTTGATGCCCCAGTGGATAATGAACTCCAGTGGCCTGGTGGGAAAGGAGTTGTGCTGCCAACCCAAAGCCAAGCGGATCGAACCCAACAGCTGCTCCAGGGCAGAGAGATGGATAAGTTTCTGTGCAATTTACAGCCTCTGAAAAATCCTCTAGAGGGCCAGCTATGAGTCGGTTCTGGCTCGAAGACACATAACAGCCTTCTGGAGGCATTGTTGCTCATCTCTGAGGACCAGGGAAGTTTCACAGGAAAGGAAGCAGGAATCCCTGAAAGAGACTTCTCTCATTTAGCTCCACTTACTTAAAAGGGATACACTGACATTATTCAGGCTCTCATATTGTCATACATTAACATAAGGCTGAGACTTCCTCTTAAGAAGGTCTACAAATCAGTCTTAGAATTTCCCGCCTTGTATATGTTAGTATTGGTGTGTACACAATACTATTTGTGATCAACTGGGTAAGACGTTCTCTAGCTTTTCAATGGCTATTAGTTTACACTTGGGGGCCTATTTCTCTGCACATATTGATGAGTTGTTGGAGATAACTAAATCCCAAGTCTTCTGTACATGGAGGGTATGCTGCCCTAGACTCAGGATGCTGGGAAAGAAAGGGCTCCTTGCCCAGGGCCTGGTCATCTCAATAACCTGAGTCAAGCTTATTTCATACCATGGTTCTCTTCTTCCTTCTCTCTCTCCTCCGACTGAAAAAACACAGCAAGGGAGCAGTCCAGACTTCAGCTGAAACCTTCAAAACGATCCTTTGGTCAAGGGTGTTCACCTTCACTGTGAACCCTTATTACAGAGTGGGGCCCTTATGTTCCCTAATAACGTCCCAACTAGTTGTCTCTGGCTCATTTTTATTGATATGATCTAAGTGGTCATCAAATAACTGAATGAGGGAGGTGAGGACCTGGCTTCACGTCCTCTATAAACTCATTGAAAGAAAAGGTTGTATCTGGTCCATCTCGCTCCCCCCAGTGTGTAGTAAGTTTGTTGGCACAAAACATATGCTCAGAATATTAGTGGGATAAACTCATAACTCGCAGGAAGTCTTTATAGCCAGTTCAAGCCCTTCTGGGGGCCTGGCTTTCTCATTGATAGAGAATGATACTATTTGCATCTGTGTCCATGGGCTGCTTGGAGTGTTCATAGAGATGAAGGATATGAACACGGAAGATCATCTTTCTAATAGTAACCTTTAGTAATGTTTATCAGACATCCTACTACGTGGATGCTCCCCAAGGAATTCTCCCTCTTCTGGGAAGAGTATCATACTGAATAGTTGGTTCTGCATAATGACAAAGTCCAATGTCATTGGCAAGCAGGAGAGGGTCAAGAGAGTGGGCCAGACACACTGGTAATGTAAGGACAGATCTAGGGAAAGTAGCAAGAGGGCAACATTTAGAGAAAATATTCACAGGGCAGATATATTTTATTAGGTGCCTCATCTTCAACAGAATAAATGAACATAAGCATCTGTATTTCCGAGGCCAACCATTTTGCTATTTCAGCAGGTCCTTGGGGAGTGGCCCATATTTCCAATCTGGCTTCAAATCCTTCTTCCTGTCCCCATGGTGCTCTTACTTTCTGTGAGAACACTGATGGCAGTCTTCTCATAGGCGTGGCTCTTAGAAATAACTAGAGTACAGTGGGATCTGTAGCATAGAAAACTCACATCCACCCCTCGTGCAAAAATGCAAAACAGCAAAGGGACCATGGATGAGAATAAAGAGGAAGATGCTAGGCACTAGGGCAGGTGAGTGTAGGGAGGAGAGGGAGGGTAAGAACAGAAGGGATAAAAACCAAACCCAATCCAAAACACAGGTTAACAGAAAAATAGCACGAAAATCAGTATTTCTTGTCACTTTCCAGCTCCCTAAACCAAGATTTATTTTCTGAGTGCTGAACACACAAGTCAGGGCCTTTTTGCACTTGGCTTCAGAGAGCTGAATATCCTGCATGAAGACCTTCTGCAGAATTAGGGGGTCTTTGAGGGACAATGATTCCAAGCACAGTGGGGCCTAGCTTAGGAGTTGTAGAGTCTCCTGACCAGGGTTACCTCACTATACTGCTCCTGGAGCACCTTTTACACTGTGTTCTACTGAGTAGGGCATCGTGGACTTGTGTACCTGGTAAGTGAAAAAGCTTAGAACCCTTGTCTCTCAATACACTGGAATGCTAGTGAGAGGAAGTGGAAAGGCCATGGAACCACTTGAACAAAGACTTTACGAGCACCCTTCACCCAATAAACAAATAACCTACCCTCATCTATATGGGTAATTTCAACAAGCCATCTCCCTCATATAACCAGCAATACATAGAAAAGCATTTGCATTACCCCGATTATGCTACGCCATGATCTAATGCCCCACACTTCACTCCTAAAAATGTATTGTGTCATTTACACTAGAAACACAAAAATGGGGTCATAGTATCATAAAAGAAGAAGCATGTATGGGGACCCAAAGTGGGGAGGGGTGAGAGCAGAGGGAGGAGGGTGGGCAGGGCGAAAACCACAGGGTCACACAGTTTGGTCGGTGGAGGGAGGGAGTAAAGGAAATGGGAAAGATCAGGTGGGGGTCTGGAAAGATTGGGAAATAGTGGGCATAGTTCGATGGTGATTAATTTTATAAAACACAGTGAATGTGAATGATTGTATGCACCACAATATGAGAGAAGGATAATGTAACACACTATGTATACAAACTTCGTATGCAAACCATTACAAAATAAAAATTTTTTAAAAAGAAGAAATGTCCCTTCTTTTATGCTAATATTGACTACATGGTTATACTAATATACATTCAATTTCACAATTGATCATTTCCATGAAACTCTCCTTCAAGGGTTTCTACATTAAATATGAGATAGTTTCTGCAGTTGGTGAGTGGGTATGAACATCGTTGGAAGCCCGGTGTGGGTTTAGGTTTTGCTTTTGTCAGTTCGCCTTTTCATTTGCTTTACTCAGGCCTGGGGGGAGATGGGGTGCAAATCAAATAAACCAGATCCCTTGATGTCACTGATCAAAATGCAAGCAAAGCTCAGTTCTGGTTCCGTTGTTTGACCCTACAGTTAATTTGGATCACTGAGGAATTTGCTAGGAAAGTGCTCAGCAAACTCAAGGCCTTACTGGTCACCAGGCTCATGGAAACAAAGTGCTCTCTCTTAAAACACTGAAAGAGACATTCCAAAGGAGCCCCCCAATAGATAACTGAGCCAGCGATAGACCTCATATCTATGAAGGAAGAGAGGAAAGAAAGCACAGAACATAAACAAGAAAAGACAAAACCTTAAAGAGGAAGGAGAAAGAAAAACATTTAGATTCCTTGAGTGATGGAAATAAATACCAAAGCTATTAGTTTCAGTTCAAAGAACGTATCACTTTATGCTGTTTATTATTTCTCGAGGATTATTTATTTTATCTTAAAATATCCAGTGGGTAAAAAGGGTCCTGGCGGGAAGTGGGGAAGAAACTGACCTGGTCTGGAGAGGGCCTATGGTTGGAATGCTGCGACCTCCCTGGAGAGCGGTGGTGGTGGTGGTGATGATGGTGGTGGTGGTGATGGTCCTCGTCGTAGTTATCTGCCATCAGCTTCATCCGGTTCTGGGTCTGTGCGGAGGCAAAACGGGGGAAGAGTCCGTCAGAGAGCTAGAAGACTAGCCGCAGAGGCTCAGGGTAGAGTCACTGGCACCTACAGGGCTCTGTTGCTCATCTAAAAGGAATTCTCTTTGGTCAAATTGAAATGGAATCAAGGACGCCTTGTGTCATTAGTTTTTTTGTTTGTTTTTAAATTATTTTAATTTATTTATTTTTCATTTCAATGAACATCTACAGAGATTTTGGAATTGTTGTTAGTTTTGATGAAAGAAGCAGTGTTGCATCCTCAAATGAACTCTATTCTTGGACCTACATTTGTGGTTGTGAATGGACTTTGACCTCACGATTTAAGGGGGGATTTGCAGATCACAAAGTACTCTGCTTTACCTTCTTAAGCCATCCCATAGTTTCCACACTAAGCCTGTAACAACACACTGCCTATGCTCTAGAGCGAGACAGAGCAGAAGGCCATAGATGGGAAGGTGGCAGAAGGCTGGACAGAGACACAGAACTGTGGACACACCATCGCCTCGAGACACAAGCCAGTGGAGTCCACTACAAGTTGCAGAAAAAAAATATACCAGTGCAGATGGGCTGGTGCTACGATGCCTTCTAAGGAATGGGCTCTCTGCGGACCATTTTAATTCATATTGTTCTTTGGGGAAATCGGGTCTAAAATAATAATTAGAAAAGCAAAGTCCATGGAAAATATTCGACCATTTGAATTTATTCCCTCTGATGCTTGCCCCACGTGGACATCAGGGACCACAGGTATACTTCAGTGGGGTGGCTAGGTGGGACACAGAATAATATAGTTTTATTCTCTAAAGCAAGAAATGGAAAAGGTAAAAACTGACCTAGCAGGATTCCAGGATCTAGAATAATATAGAGAGATCATAGAAAAAGGCAGATAAACCAACAAAACCCAAACAAACCCAGCTCAGAAAGTCAAATATAGAGGCAACCAATGTGGGTTTAAGGGATAATTACCCACACTGAAGCCCCTGATCCAGTCCTTGGACAAGCTAACTATTTCTATGCCTCAATTTGCTCAACTCTAAAATGGGTATAAGAGCACCTCTCCCCAGGACTGCCATAAAGGGCAAGTGCTACGATGACTTTCAAGTGCAATCCCAATGGCATGTCAAGTGCTCCCAGTAAACGTTTAATATTGATATTGCTATAAATACTTCTATCATTTGATATGAGAAATTTCTCCTCTTGGGACCTCCCTCTGTAATGATGGCTTACTCATCCCTTTTCTTTGCTTCCAACCTCTGTGCTGGCTAACTTAGCATTTTTCTCCAGGTGTTTTTCCCTGAGGCTAAATGATACGTGTCTCCTGCTTATCACTGTTCTAGAACCAGGGATTGATCAGTCCATCCAGCTGCAGCCCTTGACCTCCTGAAGGTAGGTGGCATTCCCTTCACCTCCTTCTCCCCAGAAGCCAGCAGGTGACCGAGTAGATAATGGATGTGCTGCCGGGACGGAATTAATGGAAACATGAAAAGGACATGATTTTAAGGGATGCTGCCTTCTCAGTGATGAGCTACACGCTTGTTTTCAACCAGAGAAGGTCACCGGGTGTCAAGGACAGCATGCAAGCTGCCCTAACAATCCTCTCAGTGGTTGGATAGACAAAAAAGCTATCAGGTTTTAAACGGAGCCAGAAAGGAGGGGCTGGGAAAATGTCCAACCAGTTGGAGTTTTATGATGTAATACAAACAACCCTCTGATAAGAAAGAGAATTCTGGACCCAATGTAGTGCATAGTTACAGCATTTTTTCATATGAAATCTTAATTCAGCCTCAAAATATTCCCTGGAGGAACTGAAACAATTCTCATTTGGCTGCTGGATAATTAAAGCAGAGATTTCACCCCCAAGAGGGTTGGGTTCCCCCACCCCCACCCCGAGACAGCACTTGGAGGATTTCTGGATCATCCAATTCTCTGGGCTTTTCTCTTCGCCACTCTGCTTGGCAGACAGCTGAACAGACAGAAGGGAGGGCTCTCCCGTAAACGCTCTAGTTCTGCTAGGCTTTGGGAACTCCTCCCATCCCAGTTCTACCTGCCACAGGATGCCTCATGATTTATTCACTTTGTTGTTTTCAAACGTGCACAATATTTGAAAGGCCCCAGAGTGGATGTAAAAAAGAAATTGCATGTCGATGGATAAAAACCATAAAATGAGAGAGAAAGATCCACTTAAAAATGGGGAGGGGAAAAAAAATAAAGAGTTCCAGGCAACCTTTCGCAGCTGATAGCATTTCCATCCTTCACTTGTCCACTTAAAATGTCAGAAGGCCCAATGGACAAGTTATTTCTGGTGAGAAAGAGCAGGTCAGGTGAGCTATTGCAGAGCAAGTATGGAGGTCCCCCTCATTTGCCAGCCCTCAAACACAAGATTCTCAAATTTAGCATTCACACTTCAGGTTCCATTTATATTGTCAGGAGTCTGTCCTCTCAAAGTTGTGAACTAATAAGAAATCTGGAATCGTTTCTTGAGAGAGAATTTTGAGGACAGCTCTGCCATTGTCAGGAAATAACAAGAATGAACGATGGGGTCTAAACGAACAACTAATAACTCCACTATTGTAAACATCATCAGGTCCCGATCCTGTGGGGAAACTCTTGTGACTTTATGAGATTATTTTCTTACCAGCAACAAGCCTGAGGTTCCCTACCTTTGAACTGTATCCCCCACTGGAATGCACAAGCTAAACAAGATGCTATAAGCACTCCTAAATGTGTCTGCTGCAATGAGGTGTTGGGGGACTAGGCATGTCACGGGATAAAGACTGTAAATGAATGATGTCATCTTTCCAATTTGGTGCTGAAGTATAAATAAACCCCGTTGCTCATGTGAATACCAGATCTGGGGGAAATGTACACAGAGCGATTGTGAGCGGAAGAGGCTTCTTTTGATTAGTCTGGGCTGGAAGAGAAGAGTGTGAAATGGAGATGAAAAATGAGAGCTCGGTCTGATACCCGAAACCATTTTTATTTATCTTGCTTGTAACATATTCCCTAAACTGTGACCGAGTCCTTACAGGCTGGCTGCTAGCTTTCTAGAGAAGGGTTTGACCAGTCCTGCGCTTTTACTTGTCAAGTTTAAAAGGGATCACTTAGCTTTTTGTTGTTTTAAATCTACCCCACCTATCCTCACTCCATCCTCACACACAAGGAATGCTCTGGGCGGAGAGGGGGCCATGAGCGATACTTTCTAAAGACAATGGAGGGCAAGGCGCAGAAAAATTGGGACAGGGATACTATTTGTTCAAATAATTCCAGACATGTCAAACAGGTGATTCCATGAGGTATGGGTCATATCCCTGTAGCCATCGGACACGTGAGGGGCTGCAGCACACGTATTAAACAGTAAATCTTCTGAGTGCTTGTAACTAAATCACAGGAAGACTAATATATGAGTTGAAGAGTGATGTCTGTCCACAAGGCGGCACTTGGGAAATCACGCGCTCATGGAAGCCCACTCTCATTTCTTTTGCAGGGTCGACCAAGCTGTTGAAGTGACACTTTTGCCTCTGGCAAATCGTGTTATGTTCCTTTTCCAATAGTATGTCAGAACTGCTGAAACAAATCTAATCAGACTTCCCTTACTACTTCCTCCAGGTGCCACCTTATTTCTGCCTTGGTCTTACCTCCCACGGCAGGCATTCCCCAGCCAGCATGGCTTCAGGTTCCCTGTAAACTCTCTGGCCTCCCACTGTTCTCAAGAAAAAAAGTCCCTGCTCCTAGACATGGCTGTTCCTGGATGGGTTCTATGAGGTGTCACCTCTCACATCTATGCCTTGGCACATGTGCTCCACGTTTCCTGTCCTACCTTTCCTCCTTTACACCTTCTCTGAGTTGCACTCAGTTTTTCTGGCTTTAGCTTTAACCTCAGCCTCCAGAAATGCCTGCTGTAAGCCCATGCCAGAATGGATGGAGTGCTCTTCCAGTCTTCCACAGAGCCCTGCACCTGCTTCTAACTGTAATCATAGTGTTCACTTCAACTCTTGTTGTCATGTGCCATCGTGTCACCTGTGACTCATAGCGACCACCCTATGTACAACAGCTCTGAATCCTGCCCTGTCCTGAGACAGTCTCAACGACTCCAACACCCTACCCTCATTGTCCCAGTTACTGTATTAATCTGTCTCATCTGGGGTCTTCCTCTCCGGTGCTGTCCCTCCACCCTTCCAAGCATGATGTCCTTCTCCAAGGAGTGGTCCCTCCTGGCCACATGCCCAAAGTACGTGAGACTGAGCTTCAAAATCTTAGCCTCCAGGGAAAAACTTGGTTTTATCCTCTCCAAGCCAGACATATTTGTTCACTTCAATTAATACTACTAAATTGTGTATTTACTTAGTTTACATAGCTTTGTTCTCCACAAGGTTGCAAACCCCTCAAAAGAAGCAATGCCTACCAATCACAAATGAATGGATTGAGGAATTATGGTACATTCACACAATGGAGTACTATGCAGCACGCAGGAGCAGTAACTTTGTAAGTTATTACCTAACTTGGGAGGGACTGGAGAGCATTATGCATTATCCCACAAGGATAAATACTGTATAAGACCATTATTGTAGAATGAATATAAGGATCCTGAAGGGGTGGGAGAGACTGGAAGCAGAGGGATGTGGATGTAAAGGAGGAAGAGGGGATTCATCATTGGATTGTACAATCTGATGGGTGCGGGGGTGAGGGAACTGGAAAGAATTTGTTTAAAATTGTATTATGATTTTATAAATAAACTAGTACAAAAAATAATAAAAAAGGTTTTCCTGGACATTCTAAGTTACTTTGTTTCTTCTTTGAGCCTTAACATTTTAACTGTATGAACTAAATAAATATGTGTACTGTGAACTTTTTTTTTTTAAAAAAAAAGAAGCAGCAGCAATGCCCAGGTTACCTGTATACTCATCACACAACACAGAGTCAAAAGTAAGCAAATATTTGTACCCGAGTTACTAAAAGTAAATAGTAAATCTGTGTTGAATGAATGCATG